GTCCATCCATAACGAACTCTGAAATCAACCCGACGACCCGCTCCTGTTTCTGCATCCCAGACTTCACAACCTCGGCCTGTGCCCCACGAATAGCATCTAATACCGGAGTCATCACCGTCAATCTCAAACATACGTCCCGCAATGGAGTGCTCTCCGCCCTACGACTCAATGCATCGGCTACCACATTAGCCTTGCCTGGGTGGTATAGGATCTCACAGTCATAATCCTTAACCACGTCTAACCATCTCCTCTGACGCATGTTTAGGTTGGGTTGATCCATCAAATACTTCAAACTCTTATGGTCCGTGTATATGGTACAACGAACCCCGTACAGGTAGTGACGCCAAATTTTGAGGGCGAACACTACTGCCCCCAACTCTAAGTCATGCGTGGGATATCTCGCTTCGTGAGGCTTCAGCTGCCTCGATGCATAGGCTATCACATGGCCCCTCTGCATCAACACTGCACCCAGTCCTGAAATCGATGCGTCGCAATATACGACAAAGTCCTCCATCCCTTCCGGGAGAGCTAATACTGGGGCTTCGCACAGTCTCTGACGAAGTGTCTCGAAGGAAGTCTGCTGCTCGGGTCCCCATGAAAATGTAACACCCTTTCGGGTCAATCTGGTGAGCGGCACCGCGATCTTGGAGAAGTCCCTAATGAACCTTCGATAGTACCCCGCCAACCCAAGGAAACTCCTGATCTCAGAAGGTGACTTCGGTGCCTCCCAACTCATCACCGCTTCCACCTTGGCCGGATCGACCAATATCCCTGCCTGATTTACAACGTGCCCCAGAAATTGGACCTCCCGTAACCAGAAGTCACATTTGGAGAATTTTGCATATAGCTTCTCCGACCTCAGTACCTCAAGGACCTCCCTCAAATGTCCCTCATGCTGCTCTAGACCGCGAATACACCAGAATGTCGTCGATGAATACAATCACAGACCGATCCAGCATCGGCCTGCATACCCTGTTCATGAGATCCATGAACACTGCTGGGGCATTGGTGAGCCCAAAAGGCATCACCACGAACTCGTAATGCCCATACCGCGTCCTAAATGCTGTCTTCTGGACGTCCTCATCCCGCACTCTTACCTGATGGTACCCTGATCTCAAATCAATCTTGGAAAACCAAGATGCCCCTTGCAACTGATCGAATAGATCATCGATCCTCGGTAACGGATAGCGGTTCTTGACCGTCACCTTGTTCAGCTCCCGGTAATCGATACACATCCGGTGTGAACCATCCTTCTTCTTGACGAACAGAATCGGTGCTCCCCACGGCGAGCTACTCGGCCGAATAAATCCCTTCCCCAACAACTCTTGAAGTTGCGAGGACAATTCTTGCATCTCTGGAGGTGCAAGACGATAAGGCACCTTCGCAATAGGCGCAGCCCCTGGAACTAGATCGATACCAAACTCCACTTGCCTCGCAGGAGGTACTCCCGGCAAATCCTCGGGAAAAACATCTGGAAACTCGCGCACCACTGGAACCTCCTTCAGTGTCTTCGGTCTCTCGGAAATCTCCCGCGTATCCATCACATACGCCACAAAACCGTTACATCCCCGCTGTAGGCATTGCCTCGCCCTAGCGGCCGAACAAAAAGCTGATCCCGAACGGGTACCCTCGCCGTATACCGTAAGAACTCCCCCACTAGGGTCTCGTATAGTCACCAGCTGACGCTCGCAGTCGATGACAGCGCTGAATCGGCTCAACCAGTCCATGCCTACGATGACACAGACATCCCCCATCGCAATAGGAATTAGGTCAATCGGAAACGCGACCCCGAAGATCTCTAGCACACATCCCCGAAGAACCTCCGTAGCACAAATCACCCTCTCAGCCGCAATAGAAACGCTCAAGGCCGACTTAACGGCTCACGACTAATGCCGATGTGCTGACTAAAAGCTAACGATACAAACGATCTACTCGCACCCGAATCAAATAACACTAGAGCAGGCATAGAGTTCACAAGGAAAGTACCTACACATACATTAACATAAGCATAGCATTTCGACCTTTAAGTAAATACGTGAATGATAACATACCTGCCACAACATCGGGCGCAGCGCGGACCTCCTCCGCAGTCAGCTGAAAGGCTCTCCGCGAGCCCTCGGGGCCTCGACCTTCGCCGGTCGGGTCTCAGTAGTCCTGGTAGTAGGTGTAGCTCCCTGACGAAGTGCGGACACTCGGCCTTCCGATGGCCTGTCTGGTTGCAGTGAAAGCAAACCATAAACCCCTTAGGGCAATCCCTGGCAATATGTCCCTCCTTGCCACACTTGTAGCAACCACCAGCTCGACACACCCCCTCGTGACTCCTGCCGCACTTCGCGCAAGTGCGACCCTTCGGACCTCCCATCCTCGAATCAGCGAACTTAGTCCGCTTGGCTGCCGGCTGAGACTGAGCCGGCCGCCGATCCACCTGCCGAGACTCAGCCTCCTCCCTCGCCTGAGTCTCCAACTCGATCTCGCGCTTCCTGGCGTTCGCCTGAAGCTCAGTGAAAGTACGATAGGTGGAGTTTGACACAAACTCCCGGATCTCCCTCTTCAAAACGCCCAAATACCGGCTCATCCGCGACTGCTCCGTAGATACCAGCTCGGGCAGAACATTGCCCTCTCATGAAACTTCCGTGATCACTGCCACGGAATCAGTACCCTGCTTAAGGGTCAAGAACTCCTGAATCAATCGCTCCCTCTCCACCGGGGGAACGTACTCGTCCCTGAACATCTCCGTAAACCTCTCCCATGTCACCGCTGAAATCTCTGCCTGAGTGAAGTTCGCCGTCACGAACTTCCACCAATCCTTCGCTCCCAGACGGAGCTGGTTCAAGGCGAACCGTACCCTCAAGTGCTCCGGGCATGAGCAAGTATAGAAGCACCCCTCGATGTCGGCGATCCACCTCATAGCCGCAATCGGATCCTGCGTCCCATCAAATTCAGGGGGTTTCGTGTTGCTGAATTCCCTGAATAGTAATGAATCACCCCCTTGCGGCCTAGCAGCAGCCACAGCTGCGGTAGCGGCAGCAACTGCAGCTTCAGTAAGTGCGGCGTACCGCTCCTCAAACTCCTCCATCAGAGTGGTCTTAATAGACCCAAACATCTCCGGGATCTCAGCCCGAACCGCCGCAGCTACCTCTTCCTGAATAATCTGACGAATCTCCTCGTCACTCGCACCGCTCGAACTCGCCCCATTGCGTGTGATGACCATGATGTCTCTGAAATACAACATAAAATCATCAGAGACTCCACCAAGTACAATGTACTCGATACGCGCCCTACTCAGTCTCCGATTTCCAGGGATTCTTACTTGGGTCTTCCACTGATCCGGTGTCTTCGGTAGTACGGGCCCAATACTACCGACCACACCGTATCAGTATTCGTCCCAAATCTTCCTCCCCAAATCCCGAATAATGAGTACTCTACCTCTAGTATGCACTATCTACTTGCACGCTACCAAATATCCATATAAGCAATCTCCCTAGACAAGGCATCACAAAACAGGCCATTCTAGTCCTATCATGTATACCTAGTCTTCTAGCATGCATAACAATTCATAATTCAGTGCATAATATAACATTGTAAGGTATTCTGGGGATCTTTACCGTTCGGGCGCTGGCTGATCGTACACACTGCTCCATTCTTGTTTTACCGCCTTACCATTTATGAAATGTTGTGTCCTTATTATTTAAAAAGGTTTTTCCTCAAATCCCCGGTCTGAGTTCAGTTGCACCCGAAAGTACACCCGAATCCCTCAAACCAAGGCTCTGATACCAATTGTAACAGCTCAAATTTTCAAAAAATTTTTCATTTAAAATAAAACATCATTATTCGACAAAAGAGTTTATTCCAAGTTTATTGCAAAAGTATAAATAATAAATCCTCAAGATCTTCAACAATGGCAGTGTGTACGTGTCACGCCGGCGCCTTCCCACGGTCATCACTAGTACCTGAAAAACATAAACACAACTAGTAAGCATAAATGCTTAGTGAGTTCCCCAGTATACGACTTACCCACATACGCCTTCCGGCCCGGACCTTTCGGTCCACATAACATTGCCTTCCGGCCCGTAACATAATCGCCTTCCGGCCCATAACATATCGCCTTCCGGCCCGTTTATATTGCCTTCCGGCCCATAGTATTTTGCCTTCCGGCCCATAATAGTATAAAACAAAACACATATAACATATCACACATAAACACATAAGTCATACA